TGAAGGTAATTAGAAGGCACCAGCTTCATATGTGGTACCTTCAGCATCCTTCAATACTTCTTCCCTTCTAGTACAACATAAGTTCTCCCCTTGACGCCTCTTTTTCTCTTTCGCTGTTGCTCAAAAATCAGGTTTAGGAACCTTTTCACCCACTCTTTTCAGTTCATTCAGACATTCTCTTTCTACGACTAGGAGAATGGTCCAGATAATTGTTTATAATATGCAGTTTTTGACATACATGGCATGTTCATAATGGTACACAGTGTAGCCAGACCTCCGCAGCCGCCACCCTTTTCAATAGAGCTGAACGCAAGTCGTCGATTAATGTCGTAAGATGTTCCCCTTTGTGATACACTGGTAGATGTATCCAACACCTCTACATTGTCGCATGTGCTGGATTCGACTCTCAACCTTGACATTAACCCGTCTTCTATCTTCTCCTTCGTCAAGCCTCAAATGTCCTATATCGAAGTGTTACAATTAATGGATACCAAAGCTTATTTTAATGGTACATTGGTACTAATTAAAGCTTATCACATAAACATGCATGCTGAATATTATTATGGGCTACAAAGATATTTAGCAGTGTTATCTACATTACAAAAACCTGAAGTAATTTGAAATTAATTCAGTGACATTTAATAATAACAAGTCACAGTGCCTACCTTGTTCACATCTGTGGATGTCAGAAAGAGCAGATGACAGTTGTCCAGTTATCAACAAGTCTGTATTGGGATGGTCAAATGGCTATTCCTTCGCTTTCAGCACACTCTTGAGCATATGCTGGCTTAGTTTTGTTCTTGAAGCACTTGTGGGTGTCGATATTTCATCAGAATCACTGGCAGATTCATCAGTATTTTTAAATAGGCAATTGTACAGGGTGAGCACTATATCATAGACAAGATACGTACAAATCTGAAACTGCAATACATACAAGTCAGCGGTATTTCAAGTGCGGTAAACTTTATATAAACAATATAAACGCAATAAACACATCATTACAAATGGTGCATTGTGAAATAACCAAGTCATTACAAATGGAGATTTAAAGATAGGTATGTGCAAAGCGAAATATTTATTTACTTTTATTGCCTATTTGGGGTTTAATATTTAAAAATCATTTTAACTCATAAACATTATTACAGTATATATACCGTAGCTAACGTGTTTTTATTTTCCAAGGGAAAAATATAGCCCACATGTGGCATTGTGGCATAGCCATAGTATTTAATAATATTGGTGACATATTCATAGGAAAACACATGGTATGGTGGTCAACTTTGCACGTTTGTCGCTTATATGCCTTGCGGAAGCGAGCAAATTTTGTTAAATGTTCTGTACTTGCTATTGAATACAAGGTGAATTAATATACTGTTATGAATAATGAGCTCAATGTATTTCCTTTTGGAGTTGACCACCAAGTTTTATAAAAGTGTCACAGGATTCAGATTGAAACCCAACTATGGTCGCACCATCACTGTTTAGTCTGTTAGTCACTCTTTTAATCTGCCTTGTGCAATTGGCCCATTAGCATTTGAATCTTGTAGTCCGGCTCGGCTAATTGACTAATAGAGCAACATAAATAATAAATATTTACTAATAATTAGTAATAATTATTAGTTAGAAATATTAATAATATTTTATTGCTTTAGAGAATACTGTACAGTAACCTAGCCAGAGCCGGGGGACTCCCCCCCCCCCTCAGAAAATGTTGCCGCCCGGTACATCTAATTTTTGTATGCCTTGGTTAAGCTGTCCCTCCCCCTTGGTCCACAAATTTAAAATTTCAGAGTCTGAGTGCATATTTTTGGAAATACAACATTTGAATTTTTCTTATATTTTTCCTAGAAATTATGTACAATAACACAGTAAATTTTAGTAAAATGTTCAAGGAAAAGGAATTTCCAACAGCAGCAGATGATACAGCAAATCTTTAGTAAAATGTTCAAGGAAAAGGAACTTCCAATGTTCAGCAGCAGATGACACAGTAAATCTTTAGTAAAATGTTGAAGGAAAAGGATCTTCCAACAGCGGCAGATAACACAATGAATTTTTACTCTTTCTAACGCTAGATGATTTTGCTCACAAGGAGAGTCTTGCAACTTAATAGGTTAATGAATCACTTGGTTATTACAACCGATTTCAACTTAATTCATATTTAACATTTTAACCCATTTACTGGCAGTACTCTCCCACTGATGAGTAATTAATTGTCTGGCGTTAGACAAAGTAAATACTAAGTAGGGCACATTTGGACACATTCACATTGCCAGTTAATGAGTTAATATTAACAACATTAAAAACAGACTAGGGTGTGAAAGGCTAGGTGGCTGCTTCTTTGCCTGCAAAAAGGAGTAAGGTGGGACTGCCACATGATCAATGTTAGATTTCAGCAATGAAGGGAATCAATATTTTAATAAAATAATTGTTATTAAATTAATAAAATAATTGTTAAAATAATCAATATTTAATAATAAAATAATTGTTGTCAATTAATAAAATAATTGTTACAAATTGTTGGGTTAATAATTATTGAGTTTGTTGCCTCCAAAGAATGCATCCACCTAACCTTTGACATCCTAGTCAACTGTTTTTAACATGTTGTTTGTTGTTAATATTATTAAGTGCATGAAAATATGAAAAGTTGAAATATGTTGTGCTATTGCAGATTATGCAGTGATTATGCATATATAGTACATGAAATGGACATTAAATGACTTGAGCTGGCCTAGTTAGCCAGGCTTATCTTCAGTGTCTTGGTTAGCCAATATCCTGACTCATATGATAACAATTTCTATTCTGGCAAGGCAGGCTAGCCTGGCTGATATGAACAGGGCCTAATATGATACATCTTAACATCATATACTAGGCATGCGAATATCATACTGGCAGATAATTGACTGAAAGCCTTTTTCCATTATTGTGTATTTCTACCATTTAGTATTAGCACTTGTTTCTGACTTTCTGTTTATAGTGTGATGTATATAAAATTATATTAATTAAATAATATGAAATTGTATGAAATGTATATAATGAATGATTAAGGACCACCGGTTATTAATAATGGGAGGCAGGGAAGGGGGCCAGTGGCGTAATGTAGGAAGAGGGGGCCCCCTTGGTGCGGCCCCTATTGACTGTTATTGTTTGACTAAGATCTTATCTTTATATTGAATATTTATCAGTAGAATGGAAAATTCTATGTCTATAACAATGACAATAACAGTTTCCAACACATGTAACAATTAACTTTTAAGAATAACTTTTGTTCTATTTGAGATGGAATACCATCGTCGATGGAGGGTTCTATTATTTAGCATTATTAATTTTGTATTTTTCCATCGATTCGTAACCTGCATTTTTCATGTTTTCAGTCTAATTTTTTGGGTGATAGGCCATGGCTGATGGGGCCCCTTAGTTTTTGAACTAACCCTGGTGAGCATTATGCCATTGAGGGGGGAGGTGGGTGAGTAAAGGGGGGCTTCAACTATTTTTGCCTGAATTGAGGGTGGCTTCAAAATATGTGACAAGGGGCGACCCCAAATTTTGAATACTTTCCTACTCATTTTCAATCTCTTGTCTTTATCATATTGCAAGATATTTCACCTCTTTTTAATAGTTCCTATAATCGTAATTTCCATAGTCTATTACGTATATGCAGTTCATGATAGAAGTCAGAGTAAATACAGCCATTTTGAATACTGGTCCTCTTATTATTTAGGCTACACAATGTCTTACACCAGTACTTGTACCATTACCTATTTTACACCAACTAAGTAACAATTTAAATGTTGGAGGGGGCATCCTAAATTTGTAAATGAAGGTGGGGGCATCTTCAAAATAAAGGTCTTGCGATATTGGGGCAGCTCTAAAAAAGTTCAATATTTGGTATGTATCACCCAACGCCCGCCCCCCGCCCCCCCATTATTATTGAGTAGCCCCCTATGAAAGGTTTTTATCCAGTATTAAGATTTACTATATAATTCTAAAGCACATACTATTTTATTATATGAGCTACCTCCTGTTATACGAGTGTAGTACTGCAGTAAATCGATAAAGGTTTTATGTATGCATAATTTGGATCTTTCATATTAAAATATTGCACACACGGTATTCGTATGAATATTTATAAGACAAATTTACATATTGAAATTAGTTCACTTACCAAAAAGTGCATTTGATTTCATACACCTCCAACCACTACTTGTTTAATTTTATTTTGTACTCTTCAAATTTATCAAGCATTTCTGCTTGTGAAGCGCAAACAAGCACTCGGTCACTCTTCGATGGAAGCCATATTGCTTTGGTTTCGCGCGTTTTTTCCAATTTCGCGCACTAATTTATTTGAATTTTAAAAATGGAATACCGCTGACTTGTATGCATTGCAGTTTCAGATTTGTACGTATCTTGTCTATGATATAGTGCCGACCCCTGAGCAGGCGTCTTGTTGTAAATAAAATAGTCTATGGGCGTCCTGAGTAAGTAATTATACTAGATAAGCGTAATACTTGATGTAAAGCGCATTTGATCATATCTACATGTAAATTTCAGACAACCAGTAGGGCCGCTCAGGGGAGACAAAAGTGGGAATTTTTTTAGCTAGGTCCCAGGTGTCTTGCGCAGCCAAAAGAATGAACTCTCTTATACAATTTTATAGTGAACTGCTGCCGTCTACTGGCTGCCAATATGTTCATCAGGTTGGCAGCCGGTAAACAAACTTTCTGATGCCGAGTGCCCTACTGTTTGCGTTATAGAAATCGTAATCGTATCGAAATGTATATTCGGTTCTGCACATGTTTGACCTGCATGGTCTAAAGTAAAAGGTTTTAGTTGACGTATGAAATATAAGACTCTGACTGATCGCCGCATTTATACGGCAACCTACGCGGACAAATAGAACTGACACTTTTATTCACGTCTAGTGTAAACATCAGCCAATAAATACACTTACCATATAGACCAATTGATGTATAGAACATTTCTTTATTTACCAACGATATCAGAAGAAATGATAATAATACTAATATTATAGACACAGCGAAACATGTTTGTTTATGATGCATACTTCACTAAGTGTTTTGAGTTGACCGCGTGGACTTTGAATGACCAATGTTCTATTTTGAGGACTATCAATTCATAAATATCACCAAGGTTTGCCACGATACTGACAATGAAAATATATATTGCTTTCATAGTATGTTATTACTGTGTATACTTAAACGACGTCAAACGTATGTGCCTGAATGTGCCCGGAAATATTTGCGACTGTAACCCTAAACCATGTGGAAGGTGACATTTCCTTTAATCTATTAACTGTGCTTTAATTAATTGCCTCGTATGAGTTTCTTTATTAGTTGGCAGGGAGCGATTGCAGAATACCCGACCACTTTTGAAGACCCGCTAGAAATATTGGTGGCTGCGTGGCAACGCAGTGAGTTTTAAATTAGAACGAGACGTTGGCAGTAATAATTGCGCAATTATAAGGTAGCTATAATTTTCACTGGTCACGCAGTGGGTTTTTAAAAGAACGAGACAATGAGACATTGATATAATTACGTCACTAAAGTAGATACATTTACGCAGTGAGTTTAGTAAAAGAACGAGACATTGATATAATTACGTAATTACTAAAGTGGATATATTTTTAGTGGCTACGCGGCTATGACGTACCAGTATGAAGATGGACTGAATGATACAGTCTTCAACTAGTTATGTGATGCTCAAAATTAATCGTGATATTTATCCATACACCTTACATTGGCATCACCTTTATTGAGTTAGTACATATATAGATGACCATAGATGAACTTGCAGGTTGGAGGCTGTAGCCTGTAGCCTGTAGCTTGCAGGTTAGAGATCTCTGTTGGTCAGGAGGGCTGCACCGGAATCGTATAAATAATGCAACCGTATGTACAGGCGTTTTGCTACACGTATAAACTCGGAATTTGGAGATAAATCGCGGAATTTGGGGATCCAAAACGTATATAGTATTAATTTGCGGTTAGAGCTCGACAACTGGCCACTAAACTCTCAGTTGGTTAGAGCTCGCCACCGGAATGGCTTGGGCTGCCCTGGTTTGATTTCTACCAGACGACCTACAGTATATAGTTGACAGTTGCTCCAGGTTAGGTCTAATAAATGTATAGAATTCACACTCGAAATTTCCGTCAACAAAACTCTTCTACACTTAGTTATATTTAATGTATAGATGCCCAAAATCTAGTCTCCTTCGCAGCCGCTCTTTGTGTCGAGCTTTCTCCGCGACACAAAGAGCGGCTGCGAAGGAGACTACCCAAAATCCTGATGTAATGATACTTAAACTATAATGACGATGTTACGAGAGAAACTTGCTGAGCTAACCGCCTCGCGTGGCAGCTAGCTCGCCTATGCATTTTCACCGCACATGCACGTAGGGAAAACTATTCAACAACAACATAATTGACAAAATCGTTTGCATTTTCCTCCATTTTGTTCAAAGTCACATGAAGAAACTATGGTTTCTCATTGGCTAATTTATTCAAGCAGCTCAGCACTAAGCTCGCAACATCCGCAGACGCGGAGATTTTTTCCTCGCGAAGTGAAAAATATCAAACACGATCAGTTCCTCAAGGCCTCGAGAGGTCAAATCCTCACGAAACTGACTATCCGCACACGAGAGGAACTTTTGGATGTTGATCAAAGCGGTGATAAGAGCTTTATTGAACGAACCATCCCAGTTAACCAAGCCTGCTTGGCAAAATATAAACCGCAGCCCGAAAAAGAGTTTTGCTAATAAAGAGCTATGCAGCAAGTCAATTAGCCTGCGGGCAGCTCCATACCACGTAATGGTAATTAATCAATTACGTGGTATGGGGCTGCCCGCAGGCTACAGGTCAATCGACTTTAGGATTATCCAGGCGTCAAGTAGAAATGAACGTGCGAAACCGTGCGTACTTTAAAGTTGAAGGGTTTTGTAGTTGGAAATTATGGGGTGGAAATTCTATATACTTCTGTTAGACCTAAGTGAAATTCCAACAAAATTTTGATATTTAATTACCCATACCTCAACATGGCAGTACCCAAGTCCCTAGTAAGTCAATATATGAACTTGTCAGCTCGATAGCTGCGCTCTAGCTGTATAGCTCAATTCGGGAAAAACTTTACGGCAACGGTCAAACGTCGAAATGTTCATGTGCCGAACCTAATGCAAATGAAATGAAACAAAGAACTGCGGTTCGGCACATGAAAAGTTCGACGTTTGATCCTGGCGTAAGATCTTGCGATATCGTGGCCCGCGGGGCATTTACAGTATTAGAGAGGGGTTGCGAAGTTCAAAGGTTTATATTGAAATTCACAAGCTGGTTTGCAAAGAAGCCCTCAGTATATTTAGTGAGCTGTTCACATACAAAATATTGTACTAAACCAAAGACAAAGATTGTATTGTGCTGATATATGAGTTCAATTTTTAATTAAACTGTCCGCCAATATTACAAATATACAATATTATAAATTGTTAAAACTTCTTCTTACAGAATGTGCCTTGATGTTTCCTTATATAAATATTTTCAATCTCGAACATGCTCTGACCAATGTAATCAATGGAAACCATGCCAAGATATCAATGTTTCGCGGAAGAAGATTAATCCGACCATATTAACTGCCCTGGGCTGTCTGCATCAGTTGAATAGTTCCTAATTATTCACTCTTTTGTGTCACTTTCATTGTTCTTTTGTCTTTCATTTTTTTCCTTCCTGAGGTCTACTGCCCAACATAAATCCTCATTGCGAATCTACAATTAGAAGACAAATGTGGTTACTGCGTGGAGTAAAACTTAACTTTTCTGAGGCCACACTTTTTTTATCTGTTTCTTTGTCTAATTATGGAACATGAAAATAAAAAATAAAGGTCGGTAGGTCGGGAAAAAGCTGTCGGACTATGGCAGAACCAAATTGAAACGGTTTCTGTCATACAGTTCAGGTGTATGCAGCATGTTCATTTTTACCCCTTTCTAGATTTTTATACGATGGGTCCCAAAATTATAATACATATGTAGTAGTAAACACTTTGTATAGCCTGACGTAAATGAATATCTGAATATCCTTGCGCCACCATAGTTGTGGGATAAGTTTGTTAAGAGGTCATAACCAGGAAGAAAGCGTGAGTGCTGAAGTATTAGTGTGATTGGAAGGATTAACAGTAACACGATGCTATATGTCAGGCGAGTTCTGATTTTCTGGCGAGTACTGATTTTCTCCCCATATGGCCGACCTTGTATTTAAAGGGGCAATGTCACCAATTTTTGAGCAATTCTGACCCTCGCAAATGTTGCCCAAAACTGAAAAAGAATGAGTGTAAGCAGAAAATAAAGCAATAACAGACACAAAAAACATGGACAGAAGTCTGGATGGGCAAGATTACGCCAGGATTGAGATGGATTGTAAATGGCATCTTGATTAATTGTTGGCGGACACTTTTTCAAGTTTTAGTCAATTGTTATGAAAATGTCATGTTACATGTTGCGTGGAAGTTCAAAGTTGTTTAATATGACTCATATAATCTTAATCCATTTACAATGTTTATTTTTAACTTTCTAGTTCAGTTTTTGAATACAAGGCATGTTAGGTAAAAAATCGGTGACATTGCCCCTTTAATAAGTACAAAAGTCTTCACTCAAATACAGCATTATATGAAGACGGTCTTTTAATAATGGAAGCAGCCTTCATAACCCTCCCCCCCCCCCCTGAAACCAGAACTGAACTCTGGACTCAAATTATTTGCCAACCGAACGTGTCACTTGTATACGACCTGCTACGTCATTGCAAAATATGCTAAGCCATTTCACTTGAACTATATGAATCAGCGCCTCTGAATCAGCGCAATAATAGACGAATTAACACACAATCAAGTGAATCGTTTCAATTTTAAACGAATCATTTCTGGTCTTGTCCAGTTACATCATTACGTTAGGTTCAAGCACTTCTAAACATGATGCGTCGTTCGTGTTTGTAAGGAATGATTTCTGTTTATGTCCTTTCATTTCACACGTGTAGTATTTTTGGTGGTAACGGCTGCCAATACTCAAAGCCAGTAAAGAACTCACACTATTTGACTTGATATAGCAGCTTCTTGTTAATCACACCGAACACTGTTCATCACACTAACACTTCCGCACCCACACTTTCCTCGTGATTATAACGTAATCACGCTTGTGTATGTAGACCTAGGTTACTTTTCTAAATTAATCTGATGATGAATTTGCAAAATAAATTCGAAATATCACTGTTGAATATTGTGTCCTCCTGCTCTACTTCAATATTTTGCCGGTTATTAGCAAAATATTTGAAAAGATCTTGTATGAGCAGTTATACGAATATTTTACCACCAATAATTTATTGTATGAACTGCAGTTTGGGCGCTTTCATTCCACGTCCACTGCATCGCTAGATTGTACTGATGAGTGGTATGTTAATATGGATCGTGGTTTATATAATCTTGCCGTTTTTCTCGATTTAAAAAAAGGATTTGACACGGTAAACCACGACATTTTACTGGCTAAACTAGAGTTGTATGGTATTAAGAATACGCCTCTTATGCTTTTCAAATGTTACTTATCAGATCGATCTCAGCAATGTCAAGTAAATGGGGAACTTTCCACGTTAAAATATCTAAAATATGGAGTTCCTCAGGGTTCAATTTTGGGTTCACTTCTGTTTTTAATTTATATCAATGATTTACCGAACTGCCTACAACACTCTACTGCACGTATGTTCGCCGACGATACTAACATCAGTGTCCAGTAAATCAATTAAGGAAGCTGAAGTGGCCGTTAATGCTGATCTCAACAATATCAGAGAATGGCTTCTATGAAACAGGCTTTCTTTTCACCTTGTCAAAACTGAATATCTTTTAATTGGATCACGCCACAATATTAACACGTTGGAAGAACAACCGCGTGTTTTTATTGGGGATGAACCAATTAAAGGGGTTCAAGTTACAAAAGCTATTGGAGTCATTTTAACTTGGGACAGTCATATTGAACAAATTTCGAAAAAAATATAATCTGGAATAAGTGCCATGAAAAAGATAAAGGGTATCACTAATTCTGATACTTTGAAGTCAGTCTGTTATGGTCTTGTCCAACCCCATTTCGACTACTGTTGTGAAGTTTGGAATTCCATTAATAGAGGCCAGTCTGAACGATTACAAAAACTTCACAACAGTGAACAGATGTGCTAGAATTTTAATGAACTTTAAAGATGAGCCTGGCCTTGATCAATTAGGGTGGATTAGCTTCGAAGAAAGGCGAAAACATATTATGGCCCGGCTCATGTTTAAGGTTGTCAATAATTTGGCAACATCGAGGTTCTCATCAATGTTCCAGAATTCTAACCATATCTACAGTTATAATTTACGAGGTTCAAATTCGTCTCTCTTTCTGCCACGACCAAATACCGAGTATGGCAGAAAATGTTTTCGATATAGTGGGGTTAAAATCTGGAATAGCATTCCTGAACAAGTAAGAAACAGCGAATCTTTAAATTCTTTCAATAGAAATATTTCCTCTGTTAGTTTGACGAGTTAGCTATTTCACTACTGTACCATTTGTTTTGTAATATGTATTTTGTATTCGTAGTTCTTAATATTATTAGTGATTTTGTATTTTATATATTTTTGTAACATAATTTATCTACGCCCCACTTGGAAAGCAGCTCCGGTTGAAGTGGCCAGCATAGTCAAATAAAGTTTTATCCCATATTAAGTTGTATTCGGAGTGTCTTTCCTACTTTGTTTTCGTAAAATTAAGATTAGTACAATTAAGTTTATACCTCTTCTGAATCCGGCGTGATGTGCAAAGCTTTTGAGAAACTGATTATTGCCTAAATAAAAAAAAAGGTGGCAAAGGCGAACTTGGTCATAAACAATCGCACATACTACTTTGTAGGATGAATCAGAGCATTATTGATAAAGTAAATTTATAGTATTTTAATTTAATATTGATTTATTTTATTTACGTTTGGGCAATTTAAAGTATAGCATCGCCTACCATGAAAATCTGGCCGGTTTGCAGTAAGCTGAAACACTGGCTTTCTGATAAAATGTTTTCAATTTGAGAGAAAACTGCAATTTACACATTTAAATTAGGCTGATAGCCTTTCCCTACCAATCGTTGAAGGATTTTGTAGATGCGAATTTCGAGTGTAAATGTTCTATACTGTACACTTATTAGACCTAACCAAGAGCTTCAACAATTGCTACAGATTTATCGAGTGAGACGCCCCAAATCCTGATATTTAACCATACACCTCACATTGGCATCAACTTAGAATATATACACGAACTTGCGGTTAGATCTCGACAACTGGCCTCTGCAGCTCAGTTGGTTAGAAACACTACCACAGGACTGGTCCGATTCCTGCCAGAGAGCCGATACGGCCCGATAGTTGCAGTTGTTGCAAATGCTCCCGGTACAGTAGCTCTAAATAAATGTATAAAATTTACACTTGAAATTTCCATCCACAAAATCCTTCAACAATTGGCTATAATTCTATCGAGTGAGAAGCCCCAAATATGTCCAGCTCCTGATATTTTTCCCTACCAATCCTGCATTTTACGTGAACGTGGGTCGACGTTCTCCCACCACTCCATCAAAATTTCTTCACCGTCACTGCTGGTTGTGTTACAGTGATTAGTGAAAACAGAATATCACCACCTCAGTGAAATGGTTTCAGTTCATGCACGATTGCGATTTGCAGATTACACTTTACATTTTGCCTCTGTTACATTTGAGAAAGGCGTTTTCAGTTTGACCTCAGCACTAGTTCTCCGGGAAGTCCAGATTTCTCAAACAGTAAGACGTACTGGACCAATATGGGAAGGCTTTTTCACATCCTCCAGCAATAGATAAATGAAGTATTTAGTCCAAATAAATTCATTTAATTAGGTGACAAGTTTTCCCAAGGTTTGTCATCCTTGACTTCATATGTACAAAGAAAGAATGAACATTTATTTTGGAAGTATCAATTTAGGATTCCCACTTGGTATTGATAATACTTACCATTTCAATTTCACCAATTGCGATTTGTCCACGACCAAGTGTTTGAAGTGAATTAGGAGATCTGGGATTGAGGGTGACAGCCATCTCTGCTGATTGAATTGCTGGAAAGATTTCGTCTAATTCCAGTAAAACCTGCGGATGAAGTAAAAATAGGTTGCATTTGCAGGTTGGTGTAGGTTGTTGGTTGAGTTAGGATATAGACCATAGGGATTATAAATAACACTAGAGGAGGCATCGAGGGTGAAATTTGGGAGCGCGCGGTAATGGGGGGGATTGGAATCCCGGATGAACACCACACAATTCCTGGGTTACACTTGAAATCAGAAACATTTAAAACAACAGTCACAAAACTGGGTGTTTTATACTGTATATTTTGCATGTCATTACTACAAACAATCCCCCAAAATTTTGGATTCAAACGATTAATTCCTCTTGAAAAGATGAAAATTGCTGACATCAGCATTAGTTTGAAGCGCTCTCAAAATGTGTTATAGACAAAAATTGAGGTAAAAATGCTTCGTAAAAATCAAAACGGGACTACTTAACTGCCATTAATTAAACAAGATTAAATTTTTTGCCCCCCAATAACTGCGTTCCTTTTCTTTCTCTAGTGTTAGCCTATTTATAATCTCTATGACATAGACCTCATGGTTGGACATGAGTCAGGTCTTTATGATTTTATCGTCTAAAACAACATATAGATATATAGTCAAACGTCATCTGCTTATCTCATCAACCTGCACCAGCCTGTAACCTGAAGTTTAGACCTCTCCAGAAGATTAACATGTATTTATTTGTGAAATTCTGGTACAAATAATCACAATGGTTATGGGGCGATTATATCTCATACCCCGCCACTATTCTTTGTTTGTTTAAATGCACAAAGAAACACGAAAATCGTTTACACATTTAAGCTGACATTGCAGGAATGTTATTTTTTTTTTATCAAATTTGACATTGGGTGCTTTGGAAGAATTAGGCAGTTTTAACTTTTAAATGACATATTTTGAGATAATTGTTTACAAATGTGACTAATGCTGTACATGCAGTAGATGCAATGTCTCTTTTCCACTCTCGCAAGCTAGCTGAGAGTTCTTGCATCTAATTATTTAAATAAACTGTTGAGTATTGTGATTGGATGAGAGTAGTCGCAATAGTTGCAATTCGTTTTTACGAGGAGTCGAAAAAAGCGTTTACTCTTAGTTTAGAGGTCAAAATGGACAAGTTGAATGCAAATAATTCACCTGTGCTTTCATTTCATGAAGTGCATCATCGTCTGGTGTGAGTTGAATAGCTTCATTCCATTTTCTTATTGACTCCCAATACCTGTTTACAATTCAACATGTTAACAACTGCCATATTTTCATTAACCCATTGAGTGGCACTCAATGGCAAACTCACCCCATGACAAGTACAATCGTCTGGCGTTAGACAGAGTAAAATAATTAATAAAGTAGGGTGCATCTGGGCACATTGCCATTTAAAGGGTTAAGCAAGAGTTTCAACATACAGCGCTGATTTCATGAAAGAGAAGTCTGATTTATATATTTATCAGTATTTTAAATATCTCACTTGATATAACTAATGGTGGAACAGATTTGTAGATGGAAATTTCGAGCACTATAGCTGGAATATTTTGTACATTTATTAGACCTAACAGGAGCGAAAAATGCATAAAAAATTCCACTCAAACGTTAATTCATCCACAAAATTCCCTTCAAAAATGTATAGTATGTTATACCTAGCAGGTTATAATCTAGCCTGTCCTTGTGACTTGTCTTGCAGTAAAACCCAGCTTTGTGAGTAAACACCAGGGCGCTTATTTACATACTGTACATGGTCTATAAAAAAAGTGCACAGTTCTAAAATATCCAGTACCCAGTTGCCCCCCCCCACCACCACACACTTTTACTTCTCGAGATACCAGAAGACCTGAAACTACCCAATTTTAGAAAGGGATAAAAAGGTCGATTGAAGAAAAATTCATTTGTAGTAAGGAATACCTGGCTGAAGGAATACTAGTTGCAAGGATCAAGAATCAAGATTGCAGTATACCAGATGTCAAAAACTTCGATACCAAATTGCATAGAGGGCTCTGCACCGGTTTTGCAGGATAGGTTTAAAATTCAAGTGGGATTCAGCCGGAGCTCCGGCATATTTTGCCGGAGCCGGAGTTGGAAAACTCCGGCAGACAAAATTATGAAAAACAAGACGCCTGCTCAGGCGTTCACACTGGCCTGAAAATGGCAACTTTCGTGGTACTGGGTGTAATGTGTAGTAGAGAAGTAGATAGGGAAACAGGATCACAGGGATACTGGATCATATAAATACAACCAATAAATACAATCATGATCAGCAACTATCAACCATAATATACCAAGACACCGGCTCAGACGTACCCTCCGGGTACGGGCAGCTCAACCTGACATTTGGCTGACAAGCCAGGCCCACTGTAACTACGATCATCAACTATCAACCGTAAATAATGACGGGCCAATAATAGCGAAGAAATTATATAGTCCTTGATTTTTAATGCCGTTATATGGCTAGTTTCAGGTGCTAAAAAGTTCATAGACATAGACGATTCTTCTAAAAAATACGCCAATTTGCTTCCATTTATAAGATAAACTGATCCCAACCCAAAGCCCTTCTCTAACCCCAACCAGTAAACATCTAATAAACAATTTGAGAATTAAAAAAGTGGGGGGAAAGTTGGATCTTGTTCCAAAAACAAATCGAACCGTATCACGTTTCACTTCGCCGCACGCAACGCCACCTCGCTGAATACAATCGAAAACATACATTTTATAGTAATATATGATGAATTAGAAAGTAATTTGGCGCAAATTAATGTAATTAGGTGCAAATTTATAATTATGCAAATAAATACAAGAGCACAACGCATGTTTATGAGCCTACGTACAACGTATATTTATACTTGTTAATTAAAAAGTCAAACTGTCAAACCTTCAACTTGTCCTTGTTTATATTCCACTATATTGTATAAATTCGCTGGGTCCAAATTTTGGGGTTTTCGAGTCGTTACACAAAGAAAAACACACTAATTCAACACGCAAGAAAGGCCAGAGTGCGACACAACATAAAATCCATAGGAAATCGGCACAATTCTTTGAAAATTCAACGAAACTGTGTGAAATATATATTAGATCGCTCAGTGAAAAGCCGCCATTTTGAAAGTGAACTGAATATGTCACTGGAGCACGTTGCACCCTGAGCCTGCGATGACCTAACGCAAACTCGATTTCTCGACTACGAAAAAAAAACCCAGAAAAAGAAGGATTTAAGACACTTTGCCTACAGGCCAGTGTAAAAAGAGTTTCTAAATAAGCGAGTTCTAAGATTCATATAATTTCAGAATACGGACTCCAGTTACAGGCAGTTGTTGAACAAGGGTAATATAACCTCACTGTATACTGTAATAGCAGAATACACAATATGCTGTCTTCCTATAAACACTACAGCACAAGGCTGTTAACCCTTCGTCGTTCAAGGTATTTGTTAAGAGGCCAAACTATGGTCACTTTGCCAAGACCTAAAACAACTAGCTACAGTACTGTAGGTACGGTCAACATGCAGTCGATATGATATACAGCGGCAATTAAAATCCTGGAACTCAATTTCTGAGGAAATAAAGACTAGTAAACGCACATGTCATACTACCTCAAACTTAAACAATGCAACCTGACAAGTGACAATGCATTGAAGGATGGAAGATTACAATTATTTATGACAATTTATTGGCATGTCTTTTGTTAAGCTTTTAAGCTGCTAAGATTTTCACGCCATTTTGTAAATATAATTGAGTAAGAACCTGGGAGAAATGAGCAGATTTGTCTATATGTTGGGGCAAAGGTACTGTACTGTACTGTACTGTACTGTACTAACACTAACTAGGATAACAAATCATAGGATAACAGAATGCTGAAACTATTCACTTAGTTCAAACTAACTTTACTGCCCCTGAGTATGGTATGTTGCTTTAACGTTTCTGGAAACTTAATACGTTTTACGAATGTCACCGTTAGCATGGAATTATCCAGTATACTGTACCTTAGCACCTTGTACTGGACATGTAAGAATAATGTTACTGTATATTATACAAAGCAAGATAGAATATAAGACAAAACACAATTCGAAGATTATTAGCATCTTCAAACTCAAGATATGAGTCAAAGCAAGTCGAGAATGTGTTTGTGATATTTCGATTTTATATCAAAATCATCATCAGACTATATTAACTAATTTTGAAATAAAATCGAAATATCACAAACATCCTATAGAAATTGATAAACAAACGTTTGGAAAGTTTGTGAAAAACCTGCTGCCATCAACCATGAAGTTGAACTATGACAGTGTCAACAACAATGCTGTACACAAGTCTACAAAGTTATATGATTATGCTGTAAAAGACCCTTTGTCTTTGGCGAAAATTTA